AATTCTACAGTAGCACAGACACTGAAAGCGTGGGAAACCATTCGAAGAACCCCACATATATCTCAATCACCGAGCCCGATGATTCAAATACAACATAACCCTCAAATAGGAGGGGGACTGCCCCCGACGTCATGGACATTTCTTGGGGACGGGGAATCATTCCCCATCCATAGGGTACTAAACAACACAGGCATGACCCCTTTGAGGGAACTGCTGGAGGGCACCCAACCTACTAGCCTACTAACCCTCCGTTATATGCAACTCAAATCCTACTATCGCACACTCCCGAACAAGGAAGCCCTACATAGGGACCTATCGTGGTTCGAAACGCTATGTGACCGCAAGACCACCCTGGATAAGACGATATCCACTCTATACCAACACATGCTAGTGGGACACCTCACCAACAACGATCAATTCCGCAGACGCTGGGAACATATGCTGGGCACATCCTTCACCACGGCCCAATGGGATAAGATCCTCATATTACACCATAAATGCTCATCCAGCTCCCAATACCAAGAAATGAACTACAAACTCCTCTCATTCTGGTACAGAACACCTGATAGCCTACACAGGATCTTTCCAAACGTACCTGACACATGCTGGAGATGCGGAGAAGCACGAGGCACACCACTACACATATGGTGGGACTGCCCTCTCATTACGCCATTTTGGGACGAAATAAAACAGAAAACAGAGGACATCCTAGGGATAGAAGACGGACTTGACGTGGAGACGGCTCTCCTACACGCCACACCTGATACTATAGGGACGTATCGGAAGAGCATTCGTAGACACCTGTTGAACGCTGCCAAAGCACTAATCCCATTATACTGGAAACAGACGGCTATTCCAACAATAACACAATGGATGGAACGGGTGGAAGAGATATATAGTGCAGAATCAACACAGGCCGCTCTTCTGGGTCTTGAAGATAAACATATGGAGCGTTGGCGCCCATGGCTGATCTATATAGCGGATCGAAACGCGGACGGACAGGAACCCCAGAGGACCCAAAGACTATCACACCCTCTCCAGGAAGGAGAATGAGACCCGATACGATACCCGCGGTGACCACAGGCGCAGGCAATGGGACTTCCTAACCCATCACACCCTCCCATACCCATCCCTCCCTCAACATCCCTCTTTATCCCCCTTCTATACTTTACCTATTTCTTTATTATCTTTCATTATCCAACGAGGATACATAAACTGACTGAATAACTGATGCAATACAACTCATTCTGAGGTTACCAACAGATTCATTACATATTTACGCATAATAGTTTGTCTAGGGGCAACTACTCCAACCACAATATCTGGGAAAATGAACGGGGTAAATATTTATACAAACAGTTACTGACCTTCAAAATGGGCTCAACGACCTCCGACATCTTACTGGGGCTGAGGCTTGCAGGAGATAAAGAGATAGCTAAGGTAACCATACAGCCGACTCATTACAGATGTCGACTTACCTAGGGAACGGTATAGGGACAGCCGCCCTACTGACATAAGATGATCTCCCCGGACAAACAGACCTCAATATTAAACCGCCCCGAAGAGATTGGACATGCACTTATTACCTAATTAGCTAAAACGGAGATAACCCCTAATAGCTTTGCTGGACACAATAGGACACACTCGACTAACAAGACAGCATACCCGAACATAACCTATTACATGTCCATGCACGCCCTTTAATCACCCTCGTACCTCCCACGAAGCACGACCCAATGCCTCAGAAAGTTGATATGAAAAACCTCCAATAAGCCGAACTCAGTCCACGACCTATCATTATCCCAATTCATGATAGCAACCTTAGCAACCTATTGACTAAACCAGCTCGAAGTACACATTTACCCTAAGCTTCTGATTATTAACATACCATTGTTTAATTGTTGATCACTGGAATTTCGCAAGGACCTGCGTGTCCGTTATTTCTTGTTTGAATGTCGCAGTTATGTGTTGATAACTCATATCTTGTCTGGACCTGCGTGCCCAGTACATTGTATCTTATTGCTGCAACTAATAAACAGCTTTGAAACACAAATCTCTATGGATGCTCCATTGTGCTATGACAGTCACACTGATGGGAAATACACAAATATTTAAGCTTACACTTCATAACTCCATTCTCAATTTAATATAATAATATAATGCCTATTACACATGGGTAGCACCATCCACACATCAATCTGTGAATTTCAAGTGCATAAAAAGACATATGTTCTCCCCCCAGTTCAAATGTTGCCAACCCTCCAAAGACACTATGACCTATATTATAACATACAAAGAAAACATGTATTGTATGTCGGAAACAATATAGCAGTATGTACAATTATCTCTCTGTTAAAAATGGAAAGAAATTAGACTCTACTACTGTAATATTGGATCATTCAAAAGATTACAACATGCACAAAACATTATGTGTTATTTCATAGCAATGTTGCTAGGTGATTGTTTCTTGTATAATGTTCATGGTTAAGTAATGTTAGAGAAAATCATTTGGTTAAAGGGATTATTTTCACTGTTTTATTTTGTGGTTATACATGGGATCTCTGAATTGCACACAAGTGAGAATTACTAATAAAAGGATTTTCTGTAAACTTCCTGCCAATACTTAGGTCATATATCAGACTACATCCAGGAGTTTAAGAGCCTATGTGTACATATTTTCATTACATCACGTAGAGATTGAGAAGCTATATCCATCTACTTTTTAGATATATAGCAACCCCAGAAATTGTGTTTGTTTGTTTTCCTTTTGTTTTAGTTTTTTTCTACTTTTGTTTTTGTTTTATAAACTATTGTGAAGTCTGATATGAACAACTGAATTATTTGTGCATGTCTGTCATGCCTTTGTGCATATAGTTGCTGCCACACAAGTGGCTGATTACCAGCAGGTGTACAGGAAATACAGGATAGGCGTAAAAATGTATATATGCTTACATTTAAAGAATTAACTCATACATGGCTTGTCTTACCATTATATTAATGTAAGTTTGAATATGGTGATATTTAAGGTGTATATTCCTTTCTAGGGTGACAGAGGAGATGTTGGACTTCCTGGTTTTCCAGTAAGAATGTCATTTACCATACAACTACTAATACAATTGCTGAATATATATACAATCAACTGCATGTTTATGCGTGTGCCATTTTTATATTTTGTATTAAGGTCCATGGATCAATATACATTTGAAAGTAGATGGACACGCATACACCTGCTCATGTGTTCATTTTAGATTTTAATTTTAACGAAGATAAGTGGATCTTAACATCCACACATATTGTTACATGTACTAACCAGATGCAATTAAAAACATAATTGCAAAAATTGTGTGTGAAACAAATTTTGCAATAAAGAACATTACATATTTTTTTTTATTTTCACCAGAAATGTTCAAAACCAAAATATTGAAAATTATTGCTACTATGATGAATAGTACACTTGCACAAAATAGATTATTGACAGGTTACTGGTCATGACAAATTCAACTTATTCTTAAATAATAGAGAATGTCATCTATACATTGTGCCTTATTAGGGCATGCCAACAATCAGAAATAAAGAGATGGGGCAGGCTCTGGATGAGAGCAGTGCAGAAAGAGGATAGAAACAAACAGAATGATTTATTGCAGCAGCTTTGGACAGGCAAGTTAAAGGACCACTATAGTGCCAGGAAAACATACTCGTTTTCCTGGCACTATAGTGCCCTGAGGGTGCCCCCACCCTCAGGGACCCCCTCCCGCCCGGCTCTGGAAAGGGGAAAGGGGTTAAAACTTACCTTTTTCCAGCGCTGGGCGGAGAGCTTCTCTGCCTCCTCTCTTCCTCCTCATTTTTCCTCTGGCTGCAAGACGCAAGAGAAAAAAGTTTATATTCTAAAGCCCCCGCATAGGAAAGCATTTACAATGCTTCCTATGACGCTATTGCGTTCTCACCGTGAAAATCACAGTGAGAGTTATCGTAGCTCTAGTGGCTGTCAATGAGACAGCCACTAGAGGATTAGGGGGAAGGCTTAACCCATTCATAAACATAGCAGTTTCTCTGAAACTGCTATGTTTATGAAAAAATGGGTTAACCCTAGAAGGATCTGGCACCCAGACCACTTCATTAAGCTGAAGTGGTCTGGGTGCCTAGAGTGGTCCTTTAAGAATATAGAGAGAGAGAAGACAGGCTGCATTTACACAAAGCCATGGTAAAGTGTTTGAGACTTTTAACCTGTTATTGGAAGCAAGTATATGCTTCCCAAGCAGGGGTATGCAAGAGAGGTGTGTCTTACAGTAAGTGTAACACCATCTGAAACAAAACTGATGCCCTCATCATGACAGCGATAAAATGTGATTTTTTTAAAATAGTGTTAAGAAAACAAAAAATTATTATTAGTAGTATTAGTAGTATTTATATAGAACCAACTAATTCCACAGCGCTTTACGATAGGAACAATAGGTAGATGAGGGCCCTGCTCAAACGAGCTTACAGTCTAGAGGTGGTGGGGTACAAATACACAACATGGCAGCAAGGGTGACAGCCACCAAACAAGGCGGAAAAGTAGCAGAGCTGGAGGTGAAAAAGGAGGTGAGAAAGGAATGTGGTTCTATAAGAGATCAAGAGACGTATTTGGATAAGTATAGATAAGTTACTCTGGGAGTCCATAAGAATTTCTGAACACGTGTTTTGAGGGTCTTCTTAAACAATTGAAGACTAGGGATAGCATGATGGGGGTAGGTAGGCTGGTCCAAAGGAAGGCAGCCATCCGCAAGAAGTCCAGCAAGGCAAGTTAGCAGTAAGGGTGCGAGGACAGGAGAAGGTCACCGGCCGAGCGGAGAGACCGAGAAGGGGCATACCTATGAATCAGTGAAGAAATGTAAGATGGGCTAGAGTTGGTTAGAGCTTTATAGGTAAGGGTTAGTATTTTGAATTGACACCTATAGGATTGTTTAACTTGAGTTAAGCCAGATGGTTAGAAAACTACAAACTTATATCAGTCATGACTGGTTCACTTTAAACAATTAATTAGTGTCAGGATTAGTCACTAAAGTCCAAATGGCCCCAGATCAAACAGGGTAAAACCATTCAGTGCTGTAGAGGGCCACTTTACAGCAAAATCGGGAAATCTTTTAAACTGTTTAACAAAGTCCGCATTTTACCATTGGGGTGTGACCTGTAAATTAATGTGGAGTCTAGGTCAGCTCAGTCACTAGACTTAAATGTTTAGAAGATATGACAACAACCTCCATAAGGGAGAATAAAACCTTCCTCATAGTTATATGGATGTCATCTTGACTAGCTGCCACATAGTTAACACGTTGCATGCTGGCTGCTAGTGATGATAGCTGGAAAATAGTTTTTCAAATTCTAATTCACTTTTGGATCTGATTTTTTTTTTTAATTGGTGCTTTGTAAATAGTCAGATTCCTACACTTTATTTAGGGATCAGATGTGAAAAGCACTGATTTTAATCTGGACACCAAATGCATTTGGCCAATTGTTGCAGATTCGATCGGGTTGATTGAATTCAAGTTTGACTTTAGTAAATATGAAAACTGCCATTCTGGTCTGAATTCATCCATTTTCACCAGTGTTTAGTGAATTACACCTGGAGGTACTTTTACGTTCCGTTCAACCAACATACTAAAATAATTAAAAAAAACAATAGTAAGAAGGTGATAAAGAAAGGTGCTCAATCACCTGTGTGAATCAGTCTAAAAACACACTTAACATTGAAATAAATACAACATACAAAAGTGAGAGCACACAATCTTGCATAAATACCACAGATATATGTTGAATAAGGGATCTGAAAAATGCAAATCTAAAAAGACCATAGAGTAATATAGTATACACAGTTAAAACTAATATACACTTCTACTGGTCCAACTCACACTTTAAAAAGCTGGCTCAAACTAGCTTGTAAAGGAGGATGCAGTGGACAGTAGTTGTAGTGGGTCAGCGTTTGCAGGCATGTGTGCTCTCACTTTTGTATTCAACACACTAAAATGGTTTTACTTTGTGAATTTATTTTCACATAAACTAGTCAGTTTTTTGAATTTGTATACCAATGGCATTGTTGTCACATCACCCAAATTCTGTAGAGTACAACAAAGAACTGACATTCATTAAAATATACCACATCCACAGATCTGTAGATCAAGGAGAATGCCCTATTCATTTCTAATCTTTGAAACTGACTTCACCTCCTTAGCACAGAAATCCAATCTTAATGATATATCTATACAACTGCAAATTGTACAGGATAAGTCACAACACTAAACAATGAATAGCTTTACTGTATGGAAAGTTCCAATATATGTATATTTTGTTCTAATTAATTTTTCCGTGTTTTACTAGGGTATGAGAGGATATTTTGGGGAGAAAGGAGAACAAGGACCAAAAGGACCGAAAGGGGACCCAGTAAATAATTTTCAATTACTATATTTTAGAAAGTTGTGTGAGCATGTAGTACCTCTCTTCTATGTTTACACACACACAAAAAAACAAATGCAACACTATGATAATAAAAGCTTTTTCTAAAATGATATAGAGGTCAGAAAGCAGGGAATGAAGACTACATGTAGAATGTAATGAGACATTGATATATAAATAAATAAAACAGTATAAATCTCAGCCTTTATATTACCTTTCCCCTGCTTATCAGTATAGTTAACGTTGTCAGCTTGTAACAAAAGACAAAAAAGCTGACATCATTGTCAACAGATATGCACCCTCCTTGTGTAATCCCAATGAAGACTGAACTAGGCTGAATAGTCCGTATTGCATGTTAAAGGGGAAATGGCACATCCCAGGATCATTAGCTAAGTCTTTGACATACATTTAAAGAAAATGTAGCTTCACGTGGAAAAAAGGTTAAAACAAAGTTATAGATCATTTTCAATGTTTTATTCGATGTCGTTCAATGTTGTAAATTCCAGAGATGTAACAGTTACCCTTTGAATACATGCATCAAAGGAGAATTTCATATAGTTCTGCACAATGAGCCAACAGAGTTAGAGATCGTGAAAATTATAACAAAATACAAAACAGATAGTTAAGTGCTAAGAGTATACTGTTGTGATATAAATCTTCATTTAATAGAAATGCACTTGAGAAGGAGGTGGGTGGGAGTGGTGCTTTGGATGTCCTTGATTATGGTTACATGTAACAATAAGTTGGACAAAAATAAAGTTTGATAGTGTAATATGTTGCCTCTCACAAGGAAATTAGAGAAAGAGTTGCACTTATACATTAGAGGAACTATAATGTAGCCACCTGCGACCCGGGTATGTACGACAGTGCGGCCACATTTTGACAGCCTCTTCTCCTGGGGGGCCCAGGAGCTGGATACCTCAGGGCCCCGGAGTCTGGCAGTGGTGTCAGTTTGCAGGCGGGCGCACAAGGGAGCATTCTCCCCTGAGCGCTCTCTGCCCAGCTCCCTCGCGCGCACCGCAGTGATGCCGAAGCCCGAATATGATGTCACTCCGGCTCCGGCATTAGTAAGCAGTGCGCGAGGGAGCTGAACAAGAGGATCAGTGCTCCCTCGCCACCTGCAGGACCGGCCACCCAGCAGCCCCACTGGACCCCAGGGAAAGCTGGAATCCCCTCAGCACTCCCAAAGGCAGGGAGGCTGGGGGACTAATTTTTTTTTTTTTTTTAATGTGAGTGTGTATGTGTGTGGGTCTGTTACTGAGTGTGTCAGTTTGTGTGTGTGTGTCTGTAAGTGTGTTTCTGTTATTGAGTGTGTGTCTGCTAGTGAGTGTCAGTGAGTGTGTTAGTTTTTGTGTGTCAGTGAGTGTACGTGTGTGTGTTACTGTATGTGTGTGTCTGTTACTGAGTGTGTTAGTTTGTGTGTGTCTGTTATTGGTTGTGAAAAAGTGTAGATAAGGACCAGCGCTTGTTCGTTTAAATTTCAATGTATCCACATACAGTTGTAATTAGCTGCTATACATTCGAGTGATTCCTTACAATAACACCAATACAAAATGCAAAACAAGAAAAGAATGTAGCGCTTTGATAATCAATGAAAATAATTAATCACCTTTTGGTTTCAAAATCACAAAACCAAAAGGTGATCAATTCTTTTCATTGATTATCAAAGCGCTACATTCTTTTCTTGTTTTGCATTTTATTATTGAGTGTGTGTCTGCTAGTGAGTGTTAGTGTGTGTATGTTAGTTTGTGTGTCAGTGAGTGTGTGTGGGTCAGTGAGTGTGTTACTGTGTATATCTGTTACTGAGTGTGTTAGTTTGTGTGTCTGTTGGTGTGTATCTGTTAGTGAGTCTGTTTGGTAAGTGTTAGTGAGTGTGTGTTTATCAGTGAGAGTGTATGTTTTGTAAGTGAGTGTGTATGTGTGTCTGTCTGTCAGTGAGTGTGTGTGTATGTCTGTCACTGAGTGTGCGTCCATCAGTAAATGTGTGTGTCTGTTAGCTAGTGTGTATGCATATGTTTGTGAGAGTGTGTGTGTGTGATTAAAACCCCCTCCGCCCTGATCTGCCTCTCAGCTCCGAATGAGCATGCGCGGCAAGAGCCGCGCGTGCATTCAAACCGCCCATAGGAAAGCATTAGTCAATGCTTTCTATGGACGTCCAGCGTCTTCTCACCGTGATTTTCACAGTGAGAATCGCAGAAGCGCCTCTAGCGGCTGTCAGTGAGGCAGCTTCTAGAGGCTGGATTAACCCTCAGTGAAACATAGCAGTTTCTCTGAAACTGCTATGTTTTCAGCTGCAGGGTTAAAACTAGAAGGACCTGGCACCCAGACCACTTCATTGAGCTGAAGTGATCTGAGTGCCTATAGTGGTCCTTTAAGTGTATGTGTATCTGCATGCACTGGCGTACATACCGCAGTCGCAGGTGTCGCAGCCCTGCCACCCCTGCGACCAGGTGCCCGCCACCAAGTGTTGCGGCCCTCGTCCGCGCAGAGTAAGGGGGGGGGGGACCAAGGATCAATTTTTGTACCGGGCCCCATGGATCGTGTGTACGCCACTGAATGTAACTCCTACTTTTGCACTTGAGCAGTATAATCCCCACTTGTGGATTTGGAGTGTACTTCTTGGTCCAAATTTGGTCAAGATTTTTAATTGATAAAAATGTATCCCTTCAGATTCTAAAGAATCAGCAAAAGCGGGTTTATATGTATAAATGTAAATGTATTGAATCAAATTAATCTTACATAAGTATTTATTAAGAAAAAATGTGGCAAAAATGTATGCCATTTTATGTTTTGTTTTTGTAAAAATTGGAAATTCAACAATTCCATTTGTACTGTTGAAACAATAACGTTAAATATGATTACTGCCTTTTATTGTATTAATAAAATCATCAGAGGTAAACGTTTTTCTTCCATATGTGGAATTATTTGTAGTTTCATTAGTTTTAATTAGATTATTCCCTTAAGGATGGAGGCAATTTTCCAAGTTCTGAACCAAAACAAACTTAGAATTTGTGTTATGTGTTTGTACCAACATAATTTAAGGATTTCTCTTTAAGGGTCTCCACATAAATTATATATTATTTTTAAAAGATAGAAAGGACTTCCATTTTCATATCCTAAATGTATACCTAGCACAAGATTAAGTGTGAATAAAATGTAAAAAATTGGAAAAATAATAAAGACAAATGCCTTTTTATAATATTTTCACATCCAGTTCAACTAAAGAAAAAGAGCTCAACTTAGATTCCTTAATCAGTCCTGTTTGGTAAATGCCTAATATGTCTAGAATTTAACCTAAAGGAACACTATATTGTCAAGAATACAAATGTGTATTTCTGACTCCAGAGTGTTAAACTAACTATTTAGCCCCCTGGATCCCTCTTGCCTCCTTAAGTATAGTAAAAACTCACCTTATTTCAAACGTCGTGCAGGTCTGCCAGCACTGGCTCCACTCCCGTCCATCTGCTTGACTGACATCATCAGAATTAATGATCTCAGACAATCACAATGTTTTCCCATAGGAACGCATTGTCAATTCTACTGATCCCAGCCAAGGAGGCAGGGTGGGGGGCAGACCCAAATGCTGCCCTGCCCAATCAGCATCTCTTCATAGAGGTGCATTGAATCAGTGCAGTGCGTGGAGATACTGAACGTTAGTGCTGCACATTGTGCAGCACAGCCCCAGAAAGCACCTCCAGTGGTCATCTGAGGTATGGCCACTAGAGGTCTTCCAAGGCTGAAAAAGCGGTATTTGTTCTGGTGACTATAGTATCCCTTTAATTATTGGTAATTTGTTAACTACCGATACCAACCCCCAAAAAACATTATACTAACCCTATGCTTACACTAATGCTGACTGTATACGTACCCTAAACTTAACTTTAACCCTAAGCTATACCTAAGCCTAAAACAGCAATAACCCAAGCCCAGCATTAATCCTT